TAACGAGATTTGGCTGTAGAGTACCTACTCTTTTAGCGCTCGTTAAGTACTTATTGAAATTAAGTACCTACTACCTACTTTACAACATTAAATGCAGATCTCATCTGAGATTATTTTCCTGCCTAAATTGTTTCTATGTGCAGTTGTTTTTATGGCATCACATTATAAGTCATAAATAAACATAAACATAAATCTGTGTTGTGCAAAATTTTCCAAAACATTAGAACAGGGTAATGACAAGCCGCACAAAATATTCTCAAATTTTAGCACTAGGTGGTGCTATAACAATCCTCATAATTCTGCAACCATTTGTTGAAGGAAGTTGTTGTTTATCATGCTAATTTACAGTTAAATCAATCATTTCTTTTTGAACCTTGCCTTATACACATAGGCATTGTCATGTTAGAATAGAAAAGGGTCCAGTCAAAACTGTTGCTATAAAATTAGAAGCACGCAATTCCCTAGAATATCATTATATGCTTAAACATAAAGGGCCCTATTTTAACGATCTAAGCGCATGGTCTGAAGCGCAAGGCGCAGGTGCACTTAGGGCATGTCCTAATCCACTTTTGCTAATTTAATGATGGGAAAAACAGTCGGCGCGCCCGGTGCATGGTCTAAAAGGGTTGTCCCTATTCTCTTAATGAGTAATGGGTGTGTTTTGGGCATAACGTGCAATAAACCAATCAGAGTCTCATCTCCCATTCCCGTTAAGAGCCAGTTGCGCTCGCGTTATGGCGGATTCGCTATTTACACTGTGGAATTTGCAAGCGCAAAGAGAGGTCTCCAGAGAGGAAACGGAGCTGCTCGTGCGCGAGCAAACAGGTAGCCTAATTCTGATACATGCAATGACTTTCCATTATGACATGTAGGCATTTTTATATTTATGTAGCCTACACAATAATAATCTTTTACATTGTAATCCTTTAAGTTTTTATATTTGGCATGTTTGTGTGCTGCTGCGCGTCCCTGTGTGTGTAATAAGCTGACTGTACGTGCGTTGTGGACTCGCCTACAGGCGCATATTACTAACGAGCTCTTTAAATAACAAAAAATAAATAAATACTGTGCCATTGACTTTAGACCAGGTTTTAGTTGGTCAATGGCGCAATCTTTTTCAGTTGCCTCAAAATAGCAACGCGCCAACAATGCGCCTGAACACACCTCGTTTTCAGACCAGCACGACGATGAGCGCATTTGCTATTTAAACAACGTGGTGCAGGACGTGAAAATGATAACTGCGTCAGGCTGAAACTAGCAAAAAACACTTGCGTCGCGCCTGGCGCCACATTACGCCGGGTGTATGATAGGGCCCAAAGATTTGTAGGCCCTACTTATGGAAATTACTTTTGTCCATATAGCCTAGTGTATATGCCACTCCCTACTGAGTGTAGCCTATAAAAGATTCAAACTTTACAACATGCTAATCTACAGTGTATCTAGCACCAAAACGGTAGAATCTGATACTAAAAAATCCTTTAAACTGTCCAGTCTGTCTTAATCTGCTTAAGGTCCCAGTGACAACATCTTGTGGACACAGTTTTTGTATGGACTGTATTAAGATGTGCTGGGATAAGGAGGGGTTACAACTGACCCAATTGCAGGTCTACATTCAACCAAAGCCCGTCTCTCAGAAACACAGTGCTGGCTGACATTTTAGAGGGAATGAAACTGGAGGCACCAGCTAGGTTTTGAGATGTGAAGTGTGAAGTTTCTCTCACAGAAAACTCAAAGTCATCAAGTCTTGTCTGGTGTGTTTGGCTTCTTACAGTCAAACTGACATTCGTCCTCATTATGAGTCTGAAGCTTTCAAAAAAACACAATCTGGTTAACGCTTCCTCAAATCTACAGCAGCAGATCTGCTCTCAACATAATAAAGCACTGGAGATGTACTGCTATAATGACTGGATGTGTGTTTGTGTAGTTTGTATGGGGGATCAGCAGAGTGGACAACAGTTGCAGCTGAAATAGCTAACAAAAAACAAACAAACAGGTAAGTGATATATTCACACAAATAATGATTACAAGGGATCACAGGTTTGGAAAATGGAGTGATGATTATATTTTTATGGATAATTATAAGCTATTTTTAGAAAAAAAGAGAGAAAAAGGCTTACTGTACAAATACAAATTACAGTATATCCAGTCAATATTTTATTTTATTTCTTTAAATTTCTCAAGAACAGCATTTTGTTATTTCCTTTATCTATATATACCTTCAGATGTCTATGATATGATCTAACTAATGTTTTCAGGATTTCCAAAAATGCACATTCATGTCATATTTTCATTATGAGATTTGCTTGTTACTTTTTTTAATGGCTCCAAAATGCTACCAGATCAGTGCTTGAAGTACGCACCGTTATGCAGTACCGCCACTTCTGTATTTTAGTCTTTAGCGTGCCGACACTTTTTCGTGTGTACCGGCACTTCAGACATGTTGCCGGTACTTACAGTCAAAGCATTGGTGTCTTAGTGATTACAAAATGTTAGTATATAAACCACACTGCCCAGAAGGGGGCACTGTGAATTACCTCTCGACAAATCATGTGATGACCTGAATAAGTGCAAGCTGTGTCGGACACGCTCGTTCCAAATTCAAATGTTGCCGCTTCAAGAAACAACAGGTTTTTTATGGCAGGAAAATCGAACGCTCATTGGCTCCAGAGATTGTCTTAATATAGGGAGATGAGAGGGTTTGTATTACCAAAGTCCCTTTAAGGCAAGTCATGTCACTCGGCGGCCATCTTTGAATCGCCTCTCGGGCATGCAAGTGCAGCTCCTATCTCTTTGAATGGGGAAACATCAAATTCTCCAAAACTGTTCACAAAGCTTATGATTAAATTTCATATTTGAAATCACCAATGAAATCTGACAACAACTGTCTCATAAATGTTGTTTCTTTTGCTCAAATAGCGTTAAAAAGCTTATTTTTTCTGGCTAGACCAGCCAGTGCGCACATCTCAGAACGCTGATTGTTTCTATAGCAACCGGGACTTCTAACCATAGACATAATTAATGGTATTTATTATGTCTGTGCTTCTAATGGCAGCTGCAGTGACACGCTGACTTTACCGATTAGCGATTGGTTCATTCATTCAGAAGGCAGGGCTTCCTGCGTTAGAGCGGCCATATTGAGTGTTGCATTTTTCCCCATTCAAATCTATATGAGTGACACGTCTTGGGTATTCTATAGAGGGTATGCACGTGACGCCACCGTCATCTGGAGTGACGTCTGCGGCTCCGCCCACTGTGTGGCAAAAAGACTGAATGGCAGCATTGGTTTTCAGCGTGAATGCTGCGACAGAGCACACAAAACACATCTAAAACGAGAAAGAGCTGTGCAATTGACTGTACAAATAGATTTGACAAGAAATCTGAGGTATATTTTTACAGACTGCCAAAATATACAGAACAGAGAAGCAAATGAATCGCTGCTATTCAAAGAAACAAATGGACTCCAGGCAGCGAAACATGGATTTGCAGCTATCATGTAATTTCAATATGTTGAATTCTGTGGTAAAATCATACACTATATATTGCATTGTTATATATTGTATTGATAACTCACCAATTAAATATTTAGCATCTTATATTCTACATAACTGGATG